GACGCCTTGAAGCTGAATATCTTGAACCGAGAAACGAATATAAAAAATGTTTGACATGAAAGAGAAAGGATAAGAGGAGATTATCAATTCACAATGCGCTAAAGAGATTTTGATCTCATTCATAAGAAAAGAAATAAATGTTGGCAAAATAGAATAACAGTATAGAACGTGTATCAACTTACAAGATTCTAGGAGTACAGTAGTTATCGATAGTGACCTTAGGTGGAATAGTCAAGATGACTACATATATAAAAAATGCTTGCAAGAAGCTCTACTCACTAAGTATTCTACATCGAACCAGCGTTGACCAAGATAGCATGTTAAAGGTCTATACAAGCTCTGTTAGATCTGTTCTAGATGTACGCCGTACCAGTGTGGCAATCCATTCCAGGTTATCTGTCTGACAAAATCGAATCCATACAGAAAAGGGCGCTCAAGATAATTTCCCCGTGTGCTGATAGCTACTCAAATGCCCTCGAGTGAGCACGGGTGGATACCCTTGCGTATCGAAGAGAAAAGATATGTAAAGAGTATATTTGCGCATTGAAGGACTTAAACCACCCTCTTCATTCTCTTCTACCAACACGCCTAGACGATACCTGTCCCTACCTACACCCTGAGGCACAAATCAGACCAGCTGTACTTTAATAAAACGTTACTACCTGTAGAACGAAGCGCATCGAAGACTTTTTCACTTTCAAGTATTTTTAAAAAACGTGATGCATGTTCTGGTGTGGTGTATATAACTTGTACTTAATGTATACAGAAATGTACATAGTCGATCTTATTAAGTTTTCATTGTATTATAACTCGTTAATTCAGTAAGTTACTGCAAGAGAGTTTAATAAACTGTTGTTATTGTTATGATTATTAATAGCAGAAGATAAAGAAAGATTGATACAAACTTATCATTTACCAAAAGATATTAGTGAAAACCTCTTTTCGCTTTTGACTGAAGAGGAAATGAAAAGAAAAAAGTTTCTCAACTCTTTTTATAAAGAACAGATTTTTATAATCATTACACTGATCTTATCCCTGCAAATTTCCAAAAAGAATTTCTCAAAAAAAGATCGAAATAAGATTGAAAAAGACAATTTTCACAAAGAAAATTTTATATAATATAAAAAAAAGCCTTTTTTGTATTATATGAAAATGGAGAACATGAATGTTGAACAACTAAAAGCTGAAGCAAAACGGCCCGGGCTAAAAAAATTTTCAAGACTCAGAAAGCAGGAGTTGATTGAGTTGATATAAAACATAATTGACCGCCCAGTTCTATCGTTGAGCTATAACATGTGTGCACTCAAAAACAACGTAAATCCATTACACAGGGTAGTGAAACGTAGTTCACTGTTTTCTCCAATATCCGCCCCCTCGCCATATTATCTCCCAAGTCCTTCGAATCAGTTCTTTGCATGTCTGCATTGAGCTTGTCATTTTTCCTACTTCCTTTGGTGACTGATAAGGTGTTGAAAGATTTTGCTTGATCTTACATCTATTACGTCTCTATCAACAACTAATAAACATGGAATGCATAGCTGTGCGTACTTCTATTTCAATGAGTTGTATAATCTTGTATAGCTGTGCATAACTCCCTATAGTTGTTTATGTAATGTTAACACAATAAGCAGGAGTGGTGTAATCTGTTTATCATATATCAAGGAGAATAAAAGCGTGTAATTCAGCAATTTTATATTTTCCTTTATAACGCAAGCTTTATGAGTCATGTTCGCGGAACAGCGAAGACCGAGGAATCCAATTTGAACATTGAATTTACTTAATGCTCGATATCTGTCTTCAGGAGAAGAACTTTTTAGGTATTTAAAACCGTCCTCAAAAAAAATTCAAAAGTACAATGATGAAAACACTTCAAATTTATTATAAGTCCAATTAATTACTGTCGGATTCAGTCACATGGTCTTTGTCTTTTTTAAGATTGTTCACTATTTTTTATCCATTTCAAACATGACAACAATGCTACAGAATGTTTTTTTTGCAAACGATACTACTTACAACACTACTGACAGAGAAATTACCACTACTGAAATTTAGTACCACTTATACTACGAAAAAACTGCCATTGATTACTAAGGTTTTTTAAAAAACTAAAAGTTTGATGAGAAACTCCATTCTATAATAAAATTATCTCGATCCACTGATTTTTTAGCAATGTATTTTACTAAACATAGCTTGTTTCGAACCAAACGAGTATACATTCACCAAACTTGACCTTATTCTTACTGTTTGTGCTGACGAATAATACGCCTATAGCCCGTGTTCGCGCTATAGGCGTATATACAGCCCTATAAACCTGTGTATAGCCCTGTAGAGCGGTGTATCGTCCTGTATAGCAGTGTATAGCCCTGAATAGCAGTGTATAGCCCTTTATAGCTGCGTGTAGCAATGTATAGCTGTGTCTATCTCTGTATACCTGTGTATAGCCTTGTATAGCTTTGTGTAGCCCTGTTTAGCTGTGTTTAGCCCTGAACAGTTGTGTATA